CCGCTTATCCGTTTCCGGGTCGCAGGGGCAGCAGTCGCCGCCCAAATCACATTGCACCGTACCAAACCTTCCTGCGGGTGGTGAGTCCACTGGAAGGTACCAACCGCCCTAACCGGGATTCGAACTTGCCCAGGAGGTGAACCCTGGGGTTCCACACCAATGACAGAGACATTGCCTCTGGGCCAAAGCGCCACTCGTAAATATATATATAAATATATATATATATTTATGACGTAAATATATATATATATATATATATATATATATATATGGTTGCAGCTGTCAATCGAGATGCGCTAGGTCAGGTATTTTTTTTTTTTTAAGCTGCATTTGAACATTAAGATTTGAACAGTGGTTTCGTTTTGTGTGCGGAGTTTTTAATCTTAATTTAAAGAATGATACATAGTTGATTTTACTAGACATTTCAGGCCAACCCCTTTTAAATTCCAGGTGACCCCCACATGGGGTTGCGACCCCAAGGTTTAAAAACCCACCCATGCACGTAAATGTAAGAGACAAGACTGTATTTGTCTCTCACATTTATTTAACGTAAAAACTGTATTTAACCGTAAATATGTTGTTTTTACTGGATAACATTGAACATTATAAGGTTTTAAATCCAGAAAATAGACATCGGTGCAATGAAAGCTGCTGGGTTTTAAAGTGCGGAGTTAAAAGCAGCATTTATTTGGTTTGTGACCTTGTGTTTTAATTGGCTCTTTCATTAAAAGCATGTTGTTAAACTATAAAAAAACAGAGATAGGAAGAGAGAGAGAGATAACTGTTTGGGATTTTTTTTTTTTTTTTTTTGTGTGTGTGAGAAAGCACGAAATAATGAAAATCTGATCCCAGCATCTTCATCTGTCTCTGACCTTAGTTTATGGGATAAGTTTTCAATCAGGTGGAAGAACAAACTCATAAAAAATGGCACGTTTCCAGGACTGAAGTGAAGCTTGAAATCCCTTTTGATTATCATTTCCTTTTCTTGGTAAAACTCATTAAAGAGTGCAGCTCATAAAAGCAGCAGGGGAGAGAAGAGTCTCTCCTGCAGTCGAAGCTTCTGAGGCCTCCGAGTACAATAAGGCGATGAAATTTACGGTCTGATAGTGTTTCTTTTCTTTTCTTTTTCTTTTTTTTTTTTTTCCCCTTAACTTTACTGCCAAAAGTGTTGTTCTTCAACGATACAAGTAACAAGCAAGAATCTGCCCAAAAAAGGGAAAGTTAACAGAAGGCGGGTTTTTTTTTTTTTTTTTTTTTTTTCTGAGGGCAGCTCTGCAGGGAAGAGAACATTTACACCTGATTACCTCATCCTTCACTGAAGTACAGCGGTCCCTGAAGTCTGCCGCACTTAGAAACACCTGACGTCTAAAAATGTATAAAGAAACTAAAGAGGAGCAGAGAGTGAGGTACAACACTCCCCGAAGTCTTCAAAGTCTGCTGCACTTAGAAACGTCCTACAACAAAAAAATTCAGTCTGATTTTTTTTTTTTTTTTTTTTGAAAAGAAGGTGAAGAATTAGAAACACTGCCCTTAGAAGCTAGAAATACTACACGTCTAAAACAAATTCGAGAGAGTAAGCAGAAGAAACCCCAGGGACTGTTAAAAATAATCATGTCTGCTAAAAATATAAAAAAGTCAAAAATACAACTCTTCAAAGAAGGTAAATAAAGCCACTAGTAGAAGTACTTGGTTCTTTTAGAAGATCGTGTACCAGTTAGTATCGAGGAAACGTTTTTCAGCTTTGATACCGATACTGATATTGCAACTTCTACATATGCCGATACCGATATCAATCCGATACCTTCTTTTCTCCTCTAGCACCTAGCTCTCTGACCAAACAGTTACTAACTTTACTTTCTGTAAATGAACAAGAGATATTATCATGAACCATGTGCGTTTCTACTGCGAGGACTCGTAAAGTATGAGCAAATAAACGGTCCAAAGAACCAACAGACCTAAACGTACAGTACTAGGGGTTAAGCACACTTACAGTAGTACCTAAAATTAGATACTGTTCCACTGTTTCTCTCTTTAAGCGTTCATTTGGATCGGCATGTGTGTTCAAGCAAAGGAACTCATTGGTTCCTCGACGCTTTGTAATGGAAAAGTGATTTCAGTTTGTTTCTTTTTTTTTCTTTTATTCTTTTTAGGAGAAAATCTGTTGAGTCAGATATCAATTTAACATAAAGAAAGAAGCGGGAAAAAAAAAAAAAAAACAGAACAATGACAAAAGAACACAAAGAACTATTTTCAATCCTGCTCTCATTCTTTTGTAGCGGCGTCTACATCAAAGCTCCAGTGAGGCAGGGGGTTTTCAGGGTCTACATATCCTACATTCAACTGCGCTTTTCATTTAGGTGAAAATCACCTACTGTTTCTACAGTATGAAGAAAGAAAGGCTGAATCAGTGAAGCTGCTCAAGGCAAATTCGATACATACCCAGTAGGAGATTCCCAGAGGAAAATGCTTTCCCGGAAGAAATATGTTTCCATTCAATGGGCAAAAAAAAAATTCATAAAAAAAAAAGAAAATCAAGTAAAAAAAAATCAAAAATAAATTAAATGTTATGATAACTGAGTTTTTTTCTTCCTGAAAAAAATGAAATCAATTAAAATGATTTATTTAATTTTAGCTTGAATTCTCAACAAGAAGTATGTTGAGAAAATATTCTAAATCAATACTAACTTTTTACAATAATTTTTTTTCTTATTTATTTTAATTTACATTTTTTGTTATTTTTCAACATAAAATGCTTATCGTAAGCATTTTTCATACTTTCATGCATTTTAGACCTACGTGTAGCTTTTTATTTTTTATTATCATCTAATTAGCAAGACCTCAAGGTCTCTGTAAAACTTGACGATATAAAATATAAATATCTCTTCGGGGGTAGAGAATCTCTCGGTATCACTGGGTTACAAGACAGCAGTCATGGCACAAATTCCTCAGCGTTCAGGTTGAACATCAATCCTTAATTCTCTGTTTTACACCCCAGAGGCCAAATGAGTAACTGAACTGACTGGTCTTTCTGCTTAATACGAAAAAAAAAGTCTAAAATCTGCCATTTTTTTTATATTTTTGTTATGAAACCTTTACAACCTATCATTAGATTTTTTGTTTTTCTTTTTTTCAGAATATCACCTTGTGATGGAGAGGTAGGAAAAAAAAAAAACGTGCTACTTGTTTAACCAAGCAAAGGAAGCAAAGACAGCTTTGGTTTGGTTTGTAGGTTTGAAGAAAAGTGAAGAGAAGAACGGGCTGAGTGGTGTCCAAACAAACAGCGATAGTACAGGGGGGAAAAATCCAGAAGACTCTGTGCTGTTATGTCCACACAGCCTGACAGAACTTTTGATTTTGAGTGTTCAGCTGTTGACAGGGTTCTGACTTTTCTCCTCCCACAGCAGCTAGAATTAGACCAGAGTTACACTCATCCACGCTAACACATAGAAGGTCTGTCAAAATGAAACAGAGGGAAAAAAAAAAAAAAAACACTCTCAAATCAGCAGCTGAAGATAACATACACATCAACGGCCTTCCTAAAAATGTCCTCCATACACAAACAAACCTGATCTGTCCCCTGTGTGTGTGTGTGTGTGTCTGATCCATCAGCAGATTCTGTTCTGCAGCCAGGCTGTAAATCTAAGAAACAAACTGACTGGGACAAAGAAATCTTCCACAGATTCTTTCAGCGGAGATTCACAACCCGACTTCCTGAGTGGAAAACTTCACTAATGGGCCGGGGAAGGAAAATGTGAGCACAACTAATTAAAGTACACAGAAACACGCAAGTTCAAGACTGTGTTTCTGCTGCACGATGAACTACATATAGTACTAGTAACTATGTCTGCTTTAACCGAAAGCCAGAAAGTACCAGGAAGGTTTGTGGTTCGCCCAAAAATACTTCCTGCAATTTTGAAACTATGTTAACGATTCACAAGGATTCAGCAAATGCTAGCAATAGCATGAAACAAAGAATTCGTCCCGAACACTTCCAGAATAAAACGTGCCATTTGTCAAAGGCGTCGAAACGGGGTTGATCAAAGATTTAAAAATATTTTTTTCCAGACATAATTTGCCAGATTCCAACAGTTGATCAAAGATTTAAAAATATTTTTTTTCAGACATAATTTGCCAGATCCCAGTCCAACAGAAAAAAAAAAGGGTTGCAAATGCATGAAAACAATGAATATGTAAATTTTCAGTTGTACAGGAGTAGCAGATACTGGTATACAAGCCTAGAGTGCCCTCTAGCGGCTGTCAGTGTGAAATAACAAACGTACATTTTAAATGGTACAGGAGTAGCAGATACTGGTATACAAGCCTAGAGTGCCCTCTAGCGGCTGTCAGTGTGAAATAACAAACGTACATTTTAAATGGTACAGGAGTAGCAGATACTGGTATACAAGCCTAGAGTGCCCTCTAGCGGCTGTCAGTGTGAAATAACAAACGTACATTTTAAATGGTACAGGAGTAGCAGATACTGGTACACAAGCCTAGAGTGCCCTATAGCAGCTGTCAGTGTGAAATTCGCAAACATGTGAAAATATATCTTTCAATATATAAGTCGCACCTGAGTATAAGTCGCAAACCCAGCCAAAGGATGAAAAAAATTGCGACTTATACTCTGGAAAATACAGTAGATTATTTTAGGCAGGTCCACATGTAAAACAGGCACAGACCCGGTACTAGCGTAAAAGTCCGGATGTACAGAACTCAGTTACCCTAATTGCGCAGGAACACAAAGACACTCCAGCCACAGCGTCTCCAGCTCTAACCGCACAGATTCAAACAAAGAGAGTGAGTTTCAAAGCACACGCGAAAGAAAGAGAAAGTGCTGTAATTTTTTCGGACAATTAATATTTTGCCGAAAGGAAAAAAAAATGGTCAGAAGATGAAAGTGTGCAACATCCGCTGCAGACGGAGAGAAGAAACTGACACAGGGAGACAGAGAGGAGAGGATGATGAGGAGGAGGAGGACGACGACGGAGCCTCCTTCTTACCTTTGCTGTGTGAGGAGAAGCAGAGCGAGAGCTGAGCAAATAGGTCAGGATTCTCAAACTTCTCTTCTTTGACTTTGATCCAGAAGCAATTCTCTGACATTTCCTGAGGCACTATCTGCAACGACACAAGGATTCCATTATCGCAACAATCAGAGAGAGAGCCATTCCCACTGAGCTGCCACTCAAAAAAAAAACTTCTGGCTGGAGATGAGCTTTATATAAGTGTGTGAATCCGTTTGTGCGTGTGTGAGGGCATACACACGTCCTTGGAACTGGTCTCTTCAGCACTTATGTGAACAATGGGACGGAGACACCAAAAAAAAAAAAAAAAAAAGCAATAAAAGTTCAAATGAATTAAAGGTTAAATGTATTCAGTCAAACGATGATTCATACAAGGTCCGTTGTTTGGGGTTGTTTTCCCCAAAGGTTTTGTGGCGGGAAAACCCGTTTGAAAAGAGACACACTACAGGACCACGTTCTAACAATACAGTTCAGTATTTCTTGGAACAAAATAATTGTCATTGAAATAGTCGTAAGATCTTAGATTACTGCAGTACAAAATCGGTCCCTTATGAAAACATATGGTTTTTATTTTATGACCATATAAGGTTGCACAATTGTACATATATTGCAGAATACTGATATATATGTATATATATATATATATGTATATATATATATATATATATACTGATATAAAATGATATATATACGTATATATATATACTTATATATATATGGTGACATAGAAAGAGAGAGCGGGATAATAAAAGGTTTTGCCTTTTATTTTGATAATTTATTTTTATTTATTATTTAAAATGTATTATTTTTATTTAAGGTGCATTTATGCTGATATGTCGATTTTTTTAAAATATTTTTTATATTTTTTTTATTGTTTTTGCATTTATAAATATTCGTATTTTACTGTAGCCGCGCCGTGCACTGGTTGGCACACCAAATCATCTGCCTGTATCTTACTTACCCCCTGCCTTCTCTACTGTTACGCCACCTATCTTCGCGACCTCCCGACTATATCTATCAATATTTTTGAGGCTCTTCACTCCCTTTCAGCCTGATCTCCGACACCCTTTGTCTCCTCAGCACACATCCAAACACTTCCATCCAACAACCTCAACGATACCGCTCACATACTTCTCTGCCGCTCCTGACTGTCTCACACAGTCCTCCCTCGGCCTGCTCCTCTAAACGGTTCTGTCAGAACTCTTAAAGTAAAAAGTGCATCTGCAGTAATATTGTCTGGCCATAAAACCAAACTGCTGTTCACCGATTTGAACCCTTGGCCTAAGCTCGGCTTCTTCAAAACTTCACCGTACCTTCACCCCAAGTGGATCAACGTAGTTTCTCTGCACAGCATCTTTGTTTTAAAACAACAACCTGGTTCAAAAAGATCAATGTTCTTTCGCAGGAGCATCCCTGTAGATGCTCTGTTCCTCCACAGGTCTGTCATCTGGACCAAACAGCCAGCACAAATCCTTCTCTATCCCAACAACCTTTTATAGTACTCAACATAAACCCTTGCCACCGCTCCCTTAGCCTCTCTTCTAGCCTGACAGCTCTCCTGTCTCCTTGCCTCATCTCTCTGACTTTTCACATTTATCTGTTCCCCACCTTTTTCTTCTGAAATCTTTTTCACTTCTTTTATTTTCCACATCTAACTTCTTGGCATCTCTCCACTGACCTCACACATTTTTTTCCACAGTCTTCTGTTCTTTGTACATCTTTCCTTAGGTTTCAACATTCAACACTCGCCACTCCTTCCTTACCCCCCAACTTTACACCTACGTCCAACCACCCCATCCGGCTTAGCTACACCTTCCCCTTGTAAAATCTCCTACCTTTTTCAGAACGCATTCCCAGTCCACGATACACTCTGCATCTTTATGTTCAGCATAGCTTATAATTATCCACGCTCTTACATTCGCCTCTTTTCCACCATTCTTCCCCAACTTCATCACCTGCACTCCCTTCAGAGCCTAGCCTAGGGTTAGCCTGAACATAATCTAAAGCCGTCCAACGTCACTTTAGAGAGAGAGAGAAAGAGAGTGAGCGAAATAATAGAAAAAGTAGTTTTTGTGTTCATTTGTCATTTTTGTCAAAGACCAACTAAAGCTTTTTGTCAACAACCAACTAAAGCCTTTTAACCCTTTCATGCATGCCGGTCACTACAGTAGACAGCTATTAAAATGTAATTTTCTATGATAAGAATATAAGCATATAAGCCTCTACAGTGGACGCCTGAGAATCCACTGTATATGCAACACTGCCATCAAAACCTATTCTTATCATAAAAAATGACATTTTAATAGCTGTCCACTGTAGTGTCCGGCATGCATGAAAGGGTTAATGATTACAATATATTTGAAAGTGAATTCAAATGTGCATAGATACAAAGAAAATCTATGAAGGTTTTGTTTGACCCCGTACTTATGAAAGCGAAAGTGAAAGTGAATTATTTGTCATTGTGACACTGAACACAACTAAATGTGACCTTTTAACTCACCCACTGCATTCCATATAACAGCGCCCCCTGTATGGTTTCCACATTGCTCTTTACATAAAGAGACAGTTTTATCCAATGAATGTAACTTTTGTGTTTGTACAACTAACTACTGCTTAGGGTAGAACAGATCATTTCAATTTTGCTTCTGCTGGAGCGCCGAGAAAAGTCCTTAATGTCAGCATCTTCAAAGGTTAACTGTGTTTGACGAATAGCTGTGGTATTTAAAAATTTAAATTCAAATAAAATAAACGATAGTTCCTCATTACCTATTTGTAAAAAATATATATTTGGAGCCAAAACACTCAACAGCTGTGTTGATCCTTCTGTCTGTCTGAGAGGCTGTTAAAAAAAAAAAAAAAAAAAGCCCGTACTGTACACAGGGGGG